TACTGAACATGCACGCAGTCGCCCCCGCAACACGCTGACAACAGACCTGTCAGCGTTCCTTTGGCAATTGAGCAACTCACGCGTACGACCAGCTGCGTCACGGGGCCTCGCCATTTCAAAGAAGTGCCCAGCGTCAGCAAGAACAGCAGTGGCGCCAGGCTTCTTAGCCCCACATGTAGCGCACGACAAGTGTTCACATGTAGCCACGCGGGCCATCGCATTCTATCATTCATGACGTGCTTCCTTTAAGGACCGGACCAATCTGCGTCCCGTACGCGCGCATGAGCATCTCGAGCACGCGGTGGATGTAGTGGCAGCGTTTTCGCATGGGCCAAGCAACAAAGGAGACTACCTTCCGGAAGCAAGAGCGGCCTTAAGACATGTAGGGCAGCACATGCAAGAATCGCGCAGCGCAAACACATGCTTGATGGATCCAGGCGACAATGTATCAAGGACACTCCTGCACCACACGTATACGTGTGCAGTTTCCCAAACAAGGCAGGTCAGACGCCATGCGAGAGCGGCCATGGCGCGCTTGGGCTCCTAACAACGGGCCTGATGAACTTTCATTGGGCACGACGCGGCCTGCCAGTTGAGAAGGCTTCCCAAGGCTTCACTGGGTGGAGACATAGCCGGGGAGTGCTGCGATGGACTCGGCAGCCATGCAGGAGGGAATGACTAGACAGCTCCAGCGCCGCATGACAGCGGATGGCCGGTGCAGTGATGATCTCGATGTTTCAAGACCACCAGCACTAACATTCCCAGTTGTTTGCGGTTACGTTGTTCTGGGAGCTTGTGGTGACCACGCCTGGACCCACTCCACAGTTGCATTCCGTGCGCCGCCCTACTCGCATCAGCGACATCTCCGGTAGATGCTGCTCCATACCTTCCCTGAGACTCCATTTCGACCTAGCATTCATACCTTCTGCCCATTCCTGCCCTAACTCTATGCGACCGTTGAGGGGATGGTTGGAAAGCTGTTGGGCACATGTGTATTTTCAAGGCCATCGGCACCTATGGGCTTTCCACTCCCGTGAGTCAGCGATGGACCTGTTCCAGTTGCACCTCCTGTGCCGTTCAACGTGCGCCATGGCAACACACTCGATGTAGCCCGTGCCTGTTGGAAGGGGGGGGGGGGTCGTGCCTCTTGCAGCGAAGCTTGCGCAGTCTTTCTCAGAACGATGGCTTGCACAGGTTCGCTAGAAGATCTCATAAACAGATGCTCGACAAAGAAAGTTGGTCTCTTGAGGATTCCGCGAGTACTGTACCTTTTACAGGTCTAGATTTTCTCAAGCCTTCTATACATAGTTCAGTGTTCTAAGGTGTACTTTGCAGCTTTCCCCGAGAAAAAGACATGGCAGTGCACGAACAATTGCAGACTACAGCTTTTGGGCAACGATACACGAGGCCTTTCCGGCGGACATGCTGGAGCACATGTGCTTAAACTGCTCTCGCAATATGCGAATCATCTAGCCGCTCTCGGAAAGATTTCGTCTACCAGTACCCTCCTTTACCCTCCTCACGTTGGGTTTGCTTCCACATAGGATAGAGAATTATTCGCGAAGTGAAAGCAGAAAAAGTTTGAAGCAAGGGTGTTTCATGTCGATCCGTTGGATCGCATGGTTGCTTTTACAAGATTGCATTTGCCTGTTGGGCCTCAGGTCTTTGGCAGGCCTTCGGGGGCTTTGGGGTCTTAGAGCTCTTAGGCCCTCAACCCCAACTCATCTACTAGAGTTGCTAGAGCTCTAAATCGCCAAGCGCCGTGAATCTCAAGCTTGGAGGTGCAGACCTGGAGCCTCTGCAAGTCCTTACCGTGACGCGACCTCCCAGGCGTCTGAGAGTTTTGGGTGGCTTTGAGGCTTCTGCAAAATGGTGGTGGGTGGGCTGCGCTGGGTTTGGGGCTTCAAAACTAAACGTTTGCAAATCCAAAGCTGCTCACACCGCTTCCCAAGCGGCAGTGTGCGCTGGGTGAATGACCACGTAGATGCTACCTGTGCTCTGCCACAGCTCAGCCTCAGAAACACAAAAGTCACATCCCGGATTCAACCCAATGCAGGCATCACTTGTGGCCGCAGACAGATGGATGGATAGGCTGCGGAGGCTGGAGTAGGGGGATTTGGGTTGGTTGGATCGTGAGGTCGCCTGAGTCCGAACTTTCATCAAAAGGGATGCAGCAAGCCAGCCGTCCTTCAGAGTATCAAGCAGTCCAAGAATCGGCAGCAAGGCAACCCAGTCGGGAAAGCCCGCTGCTCCGGCCTCTCCCTCAGGCATCACACGACGGGAAGGGTTATGGGCTTAGCCTTTACAGCAGTTTGAGCCCGACCCGGTGGATCTTGGGGACGACGCTGAACACTGGCAAAAGATGTGTGTCTGAAGAGGATGATCGACCCCTGTGTGCTGGTCTAGCTCTCTTTGGCCAGAGGGTCCGGATGCAACAAACCTAGTCTAGAATGCCCTAGACGCGTTACGTGGATGCGAGTGGTGCTGATCTGAGGGATGGGCAACTGCAGTGCCGCCTGTCGTGATTATGCGGCTGCGTGCACGGCTTTCTCTGTGACCATCCACGCCCCTTTCCTTGACCCACATTTCGGTGTGACAGTGGTGTGACACTGGGCTGGGATTGGGCAGACAACCAAGGACAGCTGCATCGACTGTGGCGCTCGAACGTGCAGGCCCCAGTGTGGACAACGGAGCATCCAGAACCTTGCAGCATGAACTCACGAACCCTGCTGAGTCTTTTATGCATGTTAATCAACCTGTGCCGCAGGTTGTCTGAGCCACTTCTCATCGCTGCTTTTTTCAAGAAACTTCTCCTTCGTCATCCTTTCAGAACCAGATACAATGTGGAACAGTGGTGCCTCAACCATTCCGCGATATTCCGCTCCGCGCAACCCTTGCATAGGAGTGGCAAGGCAGCGCCATGAGTTAGAGCACGCTGCAGACGTCATGCAGTTCACGCTCAGGTCTGTAAGATTCAGATGTTGCCCCGAAGTACCATGCCATTGAGCCACGCATACGTATCTCAGGCATTGGCGGTGTTGCGGTTGTACTGCTCGGATCCCAGACTTCAGACTTCGCACTCTGATAAGTTGCAATCCGGATCAGCAAATCTCAGCGAGTCCCCAGACTAAAACCTTGATTCTCAAAGAGCGTTTAGGGGCGAAAGGCGTCGTGGTTCTCTTGGAAAGTTGATGTTTGTCCACGGTCTTGTCTGCACCATTGAAAAAAGGAAAACCTCTGGCGAAGTAAGTAATTGGAATTTGATGCATGTTTGTGCTGATGAGGACCGGAACTCAGAGTTCTGCCTTCCGGGCACGACGTCCCAGCAGGCCAAATTGAACTTCGAAGCCAATCAGCATATTCATTGCTGCATAGAGCTTGGGGCTACGGGAGCCGGCGTTGTCGGTGACTTCCCAGGTCGACCATGCCATCAGGAGTAGAGCCAAACAGCTCCGAAGCGTCTTGTCCTCCGCTTCCCTCATTCGCCAAGGAGTACTGCTTCGAGGCGTACAATGCGAGCAAGCTGGTTCCGAAGTCCCTTGCACTTTCACAGTACTATAGACGCTGTCGGGCCGATTGAGTGAGTGAGTGCGTGAGTGCGCGTGAGTGCGTGCGCGCGCGTGCGCACTTCTGACTTCCAAGATGTATGCACTGGTGTCCGTAGCGGGGTGCGAAATGTTGGCCGAAGATTTTCGCCGCATGGAGATGGGGATTTTTCGTGGACACGAAGATGTGATGCGGATTTCTGGCCGCGGACGTGAAGACGTGAATGCTCGTTTGTGGGAGGGCTGCAAATGCGAAGCCGCCAAGCCATGTATTCTTGCCGGCAGACGTCACATAAATGAATATGTATATATAATATAGCACCGCCGTCAGCTCCACGATTTTGCCACAGATCCACAATTTGCCGCGCTCCTAGCCCAAAGAATGCCGGATCCCTGGAGTGCCCTTCCCCAGAGAATCGTGCAGGTTATGATTATGGAGTGCTCCCCCCTCTCTCCGGGAGAGAATCCTGCAGAGTATCCCCGGAGTGCCGGAGTGCCCGTCCCGGAGAGAACATCGCAAAGAATCCAGATGAATCCAGCAGAAAATCCTGAGAATCCAGAGCATCCCGGGGCGCCGACCCCTTCAGAACTGGAGTTCCCAAGTGCTGATCGCCGCGTTGCCATCATGACTAGCGTGTTCGACCTTGCGTCAAAATGCTTTGTTGAAGGGTTGGGATGTTCGAAGATGTTAGAAGGCAGTTTTGGCCAGTTGGTTGATGGTTTCGGAACGTCGGGGTCCAGGGTGCAAGGGTCCGAAGGACCCCCTTAACCCTTGGGCCAAATTGGCAGCCCAACTGTCACGAGGTACGCTGATTCAGCGCTCGGTGAGCGCAGGTAATTCGACTGTCATGGACCTGGATCGAACTTAGCGAGTGCTTAGCAAGTGCTTCCACAAAATGGGGGCCCTGTTCGGGACGGCCCGGAAACAAGCCCACGAAATCAAAGCTGCACAGCTGCCCAGAATGTTTGCAAGAAGCAAGCAATCTTGGGCCAGAAAAGCCGAAGCTTGTCAAGATGAAGGGGTGATGGTTGGTTTGTCGGGAGCTAGTTCTAGCATCCGAAGGGTGAGCTGGCCAAACTCGATGGATCAAATTAGTTTGATCAAGTGCTTGCACTACTTTGGAGAGGCCCTGAACCCTGAAGCCCACGAAATACCAAAGCAGAAGCCGAGAATCTGGGGTACTGGCGCCTGCAGCTGCAACTACCCTAGCCCCACAGAAAGCTGGATTTGTTTTTGGCAAGCGTGATTCCAGGCGACAACTGAAAGAAAGAAGGGCACTCCGATCCCTGCAGTCTCGGAGAGCCATGTACAGGACCGTACAGGACACGCGCCAAAAAAGCAAAAACCTGCGCTGCGACTATGCCTCAAAAACAATTAAGCCTTAAGGTTCAGCTCTGGCACTCAATGTATTTGTAAAAGCTATGCTCGCCCCGATGAGCCCGAGTCCCTCCGAGGTGAGAAATGCGGCCGCTGGGAGCAGGCGCTTGCTCTTCTGGCTGCGCCAGGGGCCCCAGCATCAGATCAAATATCAACGTCGCGTACGATTGGCCTGCACGTTTCTGCTGTCATTGTGTTTGTTTGAGCGAGCTTTTAAGCACCCACACGGCCGCCTGCCGACGAAAGCACACGCTCTTTACCAGACAAGCATTGTTCCCCCAGAAGCTCCTCACACATCGCTGCATACCAACGAGCGACGGATAGTAACTGAAGTTTCGGCCCAAGTTTATGCAGAAGCAAATTAGCGAGCAGGCAGCACCTGTGCATTTTCCACCTTCCTCCATGTCTCTGTCTACGTGGACCTGTCTTTCGTGCGGAGCTCCAGGACATCCACACTGCGATGCATGTGGGCACAGATCGATGTCATTGTCACCACCTCTGGCAAGTCCGGCTGCTCCGGATCCTGTTGCCCCTGCTATGGCTGCTATGGAGCTGGACATCAGCCACAAGGGCAATGTAAATGGCAAAGTGGATGGCAAGTTGGATGCCCAGGAGCTCCTAGAGATTGGCGACAATGTTTTCCAGGACCACCGGTGGGAGCAGGCACAGGCGCTGTTGACAAGTCGAAAAGAGTGGGGCCCAACCGCTGCCAAGGACATTCTCTTGCAAGGTGCCCAGAGCATGGGTTTCTGGCACCTCCCTGACGACACTTTGGCAACTCTTGTAGACCAACTCATCGGCGCTGCGCCTCGCCCGAGCATTGGCTTGCAGCAATGGGCAGATTGGACGGACAAGACATCGGCCGGCCGTGGCATGTCTGAAGCCTCGCTGATGAACAGACTCAAAAGCAAGGAACTTGCCGTGCCTATAGAATCCAGTCGCTTTTCCCCGGATGTCGACCTGTCCAGCACCCCTGCAGGCTTCTCAAAGCCCCACTCCGCGGTACCGGACTGGCGCGGCTATTTTGTCAGTCCGAACTACTTCCGCTACGCGAACGTGGCTATACACTTTGTCGTCTTTGGTCTTTCCGCGGCCTACGCCTCGGACCTTGTCATCGACAAGTACCCGGATGCTATCAAGCTTTTCAGCTGGCCAATTTGGTTTGCGCGCCTGGGTGGCATGGCCACCTCTATCTGGACCGCATTGCTCTTCATTACCATGTCCCGAGCAATGCTGAGCAGCATTTCCCGGTGCCTGCCAAAATGGGCTAGCTTTTGCATAGTCTTCCTGGATTCCCACAAGGACTTTCACATCGAGGCTGGCAAAGCCTTGTGCTTGTACTCTTCCATCCATGTGACAGGCCACACCATCGGCACTGTCCCCGGAGTGATGCAGAAAAGTGTAGCGGAACTGAATGGTCTGTTGGGCTGCGCACAAGATGACCCCCCGTGGCTAGTGGACTTAGACCTCAGCAAGCTCTACTGGCCCATGTGCCCTTTGACCGAAGAGAACAAGCCAAAGACATTCACCGAAGCCTTGTTCCTAACAGTGCCTGGAGTCACGGGAGCCATGCTTACAAGCTTGTTGGCCTTGATTGCCGTCACCAGCTTGCAGAGTGTTCGCACGAAGCACTTCGAATGCTTTTGGAACTTGCACAATGTCGCTATCATCACCTGGCCAATCATTCTGTTCTTCCACGGCTCGCAAGGATGGGTCGGCGTTGGCATTCCGTTGGTCGTCATTGTCTCATCCTTTCCCATTGCCGCCTACGGTGCCGGTCGCATCGCACGCCTTCTCCGGTACTACCTCTTCGTCGGAAAGGCCGTGCGGATCCTGCGAGCCACCGTAAGGTTGGGTAGGCAGGGTGACATCAACGGCTCCCTGACACAACTGGAGGTGACACCACCTCCGTACTTGTGGAGTTTCCATGCAGGCATGTATGCCTTCATCTGCATGCCGGACTATGCACCTTTGCAGTGGCACCCCTTCACAATCACCTCGGGCAAGGATGATGCCACCGTGAACTTTCTGGTGGCAGGGGTGGGCGACTGGAGCAACGAGGTTGCCCGGAGGTGCCTCAAGGGTGAGCTGCCACGCTTGGCTTTGGATGGGCCTTTTGTGTCACCCACACAGTCAGCAATGGACAAAGAGGTTTTGGTGGCTATCGGCGCTGGGGTCGGTGTCACGCCGTTCCTTTCTCTGCTCTCCACTTTTTTAGTACAACTCTCAACTGAAACTTCTGCGTCCTCATTGGTCGAAGCACATTTCTATTGGATCACCCGCGATCCTTGCGAGTTCATCTTCGGCGCGCCTTTGTTGCGGAACTGGCTGTCCCACCGCCCTTTGCATGCCAAGATCGTCGTCCACCTCTACACAACAGCCAAAGGCCCTGAGAACAGCCTCCCCTCGTTCCTCTTCAAGGAATGCCTTAGACGACAGAGCATCGTGGACCGCGCACACTTCAAAGCCATCTTCCCTGAGTGGCAGCGGCAAAACTTGCAGACTCCGGGTCCACAATTCCCTTGGTGTTGGGCCGAGGGCGGTGAGGAGGAGCTGCTATGGGTGCCGTGCCCCTCAGGGGATGATGGGATGGATAAATTCCGTCAGGTGACCAGTCAGCCCACAGCCTTCGAACAGAAACAGTCGCGGCAGAATGAGCAGAATGCCAATGTGGAGGCAGCTGAGGAATCAGAGGTCATCATGGTGCCGGTGAACGTCGGTAGGCCCAACTTTTTGCGAGACATCGCATCTATTGGCAGAGCCCGGCCGGAGAAGAATCTTCATGTCTATGTTTGTGGCAACACCACCTTGGTCCACGACCTGCAGAGTGGATGTCAGCGAATTGCCAAAGAAGCTTTGCAACGAAACCCGCATCAGAAGAAGTTGCAGCAGTACATTGTGCATTTCGAGCGCTTTGGATGAGATCCGGCGGATGCCAAGCATTCGCTGTGAAAAGCGTTGTGACGGCAGACGGCTAGAAGGGCTGGGGGGGGGGGGGCTGGTTTTCTGTTGATGGGTACAGTTTGTAAAGTGATCGGTATGGAGCTTGCCGTGGCAGCTGTGGTCAACCGAGAAGCTGCCCCCTCGAAATGAGCTCATCCTTCAAAACGGAGGGAAGGCCCCCACATGAATGTCGATGTAGTGCTTAGGCTGGAGACAAAGTAGAGTTTAGGATAATTCTTCTTCCGAAGCTGAGAGAGTCTTCCGACGCTGCATGAGTTTAGGATGATTACTTCTTAGGGAGGAGAGCCAGGAACCGGGTAAGACGAAGTCAAGGGAGGGCAGCTTTGTTGGTTGCATTTTCGCTGCTCGTCAGGATACAGGCTAGTGCAGCTTGAACCGACAACTTCTGCGGGGGTCGTTGAGCTTTGCCGTAGTCGGCTGCAGCTGGGACAACTGGGACAGATTATGCCTGGTGGGGGGTTCTATAGGTAGAAGGCTGGAGGCACTTGAGAGGGGTTTTTGTGGAAAAAGGTTGTAGGTGCCGAGTTGCTGACCCCAAAGGCGCGCTATCTGGCTGAGTGCATGTCCCCAGCGCCTTTGCTCCACATGCGAGGCACAAAAAACTGCCACTTGCATCCGGCATCATCTGGCGCGTACCGCCTTGTGACACTTAGAGGTGGAGTAGAAGCTGCTCAGTAGCCATAATTAAATCATAAATTGGTTTTTGGCTTTCCTGCAGACCTTTTGGAGCCAAGCCGAAGCCATCCCACTGACAAAGGCTCCCCTGCCGGACACTGGCCCCGGATTCCGTCAGCTTCGGCACAGCTTCAGCCGCAGCAGCCAGGGCTCAGCAGTGGGAGGTGCGAGCTTTGCTCCAGTTTACATGCGGTGGAGGTGCGGGTCCAGTAGGGTTCAGGGTTAGGGTCGCCAAACGCCATTTTCGTGTCCTCTTCGGACATGACATCAGTATCAGAAGTGCTCTTGAGATCTCCATCGGCCTTCTCCACTGGGCGGAGGAACTGCACTTTGGAGCTGACCCCTATGTGTCACTTGGCCTGTGTACAAGGTAGTCCAGCTGAAGCCCAACCTTTGGAGCAAGTCCTAAGAACGCACCCCAAAGATCCCAAAGCTGAGGCGGTCTACGGCAATCGCTGCTTGCGGCCATGTTGGCTGCGATTAGCACGAAGTCCCGGGCTCCAAGAAAGCCCAAAAACAGGCCGTGGCACATGGAACATGGAAGCCTTCCAGAAGCTGAGGGGGAAGCCCTTCGCTGTTCAGCCCTTTTGAACTGGGCTTTGAATCAATTGGCTTGTGGTGGAATGTTGGAACCGAGAGCAAGTAGATACAAGAACAAACGCGACAAAGTGTCAACGCAAGGAGACTTGGACCTGCGATAAGATCCCACCAACATTCGACGCCGAACAACCGCCCCCCCCCCCCCTCACCCCCCCTCTACACACCCGGATAGAGGATCCCATATGCAATCCCTTGCGTTTGAGGCCAAGCTCAGTGGCCGCGCGGGCTGGAGATCTTCGCCAATGGGCCTACAAGTGCCCTTGGCCGAACAAAAAACCTGAAGCAGAAGGCCTCGGAAAATCAGTGTGTAGACCAAAGCCAAAGCCCAACAGGGTTTTCCTGTGTGGCCTAGAACTGTGAAGATGCGAAGTGGCGCAGTGTGGAACATCCGCAACAGCAGACGCAATGCCAATGAAACCAGTCATCCAATAATCGCAATAGGCAAGAATCGCAAACTGTGAATGCAAGAGCTGTCTCTCCAGATTCTATAGGCGCGCCTTTGTGTGGGTGGTCCTTGTCAACTCAGCATCAGTTCCTTGCACCCGGTCTTTTCGCAATAGTATCATACACATTGGGGGCCCCGTCAGCTCCAAAAAGACCGCTCGACCGCCTGTAAATTTGCAAGGTGCCTCGAAATTACGCGCAATCGAAATGTTGCAAACACTGTCAAAATGCCGAAATCAAAGAGAGGGACACAAGGCGAATGATTAGAATCATCGGGCGGGCTCTCCTGGCCGTTCCACGCAGCTGCCAATCCACAAAGCACCATTGGAATTGAAGACGGCGCTATAGATGCGCACCTTCCACCCCAAAATTTGGGAGAGTGTTGTAAAGGTTCCCTTGCCTTCGCCAGACATGCTGTGACTTTGGCTGAGCTGCTGTCTGCGATTTGGACCTGCTACATACGGAAAGGGGAGGATCTGGCCCGGGGCAAAGGCGAGATTGGAGGTGGTTTCGCCACCTCCAGTCTGCCTCAGTATTGTGCAGATAGGAGTGGTCGGGCCTGTGTATGGGGTGGACAGTGGTGCCCATTCTGTGTCTGCAAGGTGTGTCGCAATGGTGTTGGCTTGCTGTCGCTATGAAGTGGCGGCGGGCCGGGGCGGGAGTGGAGTGTTGACTCGACCTCTATTGACACAAGTGCAGCCTTGCCTGGGTCGACGGTCTCCTCACTTACGGCGGGCCGGGAGTTAAAACCATGGGGTTTGGTCCTTGTTCGTGTGGGGATTCGTTTGTGAAGTTCACGTTCTCGATCATCGTCTTGAGCCGCCCTTGCCCGTGCGAACGCCTGTATCAGCTCCCGGATGTTCATGACCCAGGTGCCCCATTGAGGCAAGCCCCATTGAGGCAATGGCTCAATCGGCTTGTGACAGCTGATGCGTAGTAAGTGCGTGGCGGAGTTGCCCCCACTTAGTCTTGTGTGTGTGTGTGTGAATCGTATTGCAGCACGAGACAAAGCAATGACAGATCCTGAAGCCCCAGACCCAAGAAGACCACGTGGACTCGACATAGGCCCTGACAATGCTGGTTCAATTGAGGCCGCACAGCGTTCAACGCTATCCTGGATGCAACGCAGACGATGGATCCTGAAGCCTGAAGTGCTGCCAACTTAGGGCTTATTAGGGATTATGACTTTGGTTGGGGTTGGGGATATGGTTTGGGGTTACATAAATTGAGTATGTGTTTGGGTTTCAGCCAGGAGCTTCAGGGCTCAAAGATGCTCGAACAGCCACCTCATACCTTCATGCCACGTCGCATTCACTTTAAAGCCACAAAGCCTGCCCCGCGTACATAGCAGTCTATAGCAACTCGAGGAGCAGCGTGTGAGTCTGGTTGGCTGCTTGAGTTTGGGGCAGGTTCTGCTTTCCCACACGCCAGTCCTCCCCAACATTCACGACCCTACACCTCTTCTTTTGTTGGACTTCAGGCTGCCACAAAGAAAAATCTATGCATTGTTAAGCAATATGTCGTTATTCCATACATTTGAACGTGCAGGTTTCAGGCCGTGGGCACTCGTAAGTTTCGGCTTTACAGGTCAGTCCCAGCTACTTCTGTATCTTCAGTAGTCGTCCCTTCAGGAGATTCGTGGGCCGTTGTTTGAGTTGGCGTTGCAACGCAGTGCCTACCCAGGTGGGCCGAGAGTTTATTCCAGGACTGGAGAGTGTGACAGGGATTTGAGTAAGTTTATTCTTGGCGTTTGGCTGGCCGTTGGTTGCCAAACGCTTCTGGCATGGCTAATGACGAATTCTAACGAACTAACGCGCATGTGCAGCCTCGGCTCCGCTTGCGGGGCGCTGCAGAAGAAATGCCCCTCGATTCTTGTGTCCTGCTTGAATTTGTGAGGCCAGACCTTCCTGGGTTTCGGAAGCTGGCTTGTACGATCACCTCTCCGAATTTGCGTGTAGAAACAGGCAGTCAAAGTCAAGGATCCAAAAGTGACGACAGTTTCACACATCGCGAGCCCAGAAGTCCAACAGCGATGCAGACTTGCTTTGTTCTGATCAGAAGAGCAGGCCTTAGCAAACAAAGCAGACGTTTTTCCTTTTATTGCAAAAGCAAAAGTTCCTCTGTTATTAGCAAGGCAGCTCCCAGTTCCCGCTTCAATCAGGAAAAAGACGTGATATTGCTAGGAAATACATACAGCCTTTGTCATTTTTGACACCAAACGACAAACCCACTGTCCATCACTGTCCTTTGAAATTGAAGGAGGGGGTCGTTGTTGACCAGGACTCCCTTCATCTCCCTACCCTCCCCGTACCCCGCCGTTGAAGACTTGCATGTCTGAAAGAGTATGAACCTCGGGATGTTGCACACACCTGCAACAAAAAACACACACACACACAAGCACCCACACACGCACGCACAGACGAACGCGCACGAACGCGCACGTGCATGCACGCGCGCGCACGCATGCACGCACGCGCACGCACGCACACGTGCATGCACACGCGCACGCACGCACGCACGCACGAGCACGCACGCACGTACACATACACATACACATACACATACACATACACATGCACATGCACATGCACATGCACATGCACATGCACATGCACATACACATGCACATGCACATACACAACAACAGCAACCACAACCACAACCACAACAACAACAACAACAACAACAACAACAACAACAACAACAACAAGAACAAGAACAAGAACAAGAACAACAAGAACAATAACAACAAGAACAATAACAACAAGAACAACAAGAACAAGAACAACAAGACAAACAAGAACAAGACCAAGAACAGCAATAACAATAAGAATAACATCAACCAACAACAACAACAACAACAACAACAACAACAACAACAACAACAACAACAACAACAACAACAACAACAACAACAACAACAACAACAACAACAAGAACAAGAACAAGAACAAGAACAAGAACAAGAACAAGAACAAGAACAAGAACAAGAACAAGAACAAGAACAAGAACAAGAACAAAGAACAAGAACAGAACAAGAACAAGAACAAGAACAAGAACAAGAACAAGAACAAGAACAAGAACAAGAACAAGAACAAGACCAAGAACAAGAACAAGAACAAGAACAAGAACAAGAACAAGAACAAGAACAAGAACAAGAACAAGAACAAGAACAAGAACAAGAACAAGAACAAGAACAAGAACAAGAACAAGAACAACAACAAGAACAACAACAACAACCACAACAACAACAACAACAACAACAACAATAACAACAACAACAACAACAACAACAACAACAACAACAACAACAACAACAACAACAACAACAACAACAACAACAACAACACTACAGGACCTGGAGCGTTTCTGTTGCAAGAATAGTGCCAGAAGATACTTCATGATAGGAAATTTGGAAATAGAGGTTGTTCCGTTAGTAGGGGCCTTCGTAATAGAGGAAATAAGAAATACAGGCCCATAGTGAAACATGAAGGGGGTAGTAGAGGTTTGAAAACATAATGTACGTGAAATCGAAGTTTGCAAAGAAAGCTATATACATATATATATATATATACATTATATATATATATATATATGCATTAGCAAGAACAGCCGAAATAGCGAGGAAGTAGCGACACGGCACGTGAAAGCACCGAGGGTCTGCACGGCACCTAGAAAGGACACCGAAACGTTTGGCATTTAATTCTGCACAATTTGCAAGCGCGGAATAGCAAAGACTTCTTCCCTAGAGTACACAGTACGGGGGCCCTGCAATCGCAGACCCTGCCTTAAAACTTGAGCCCCGCCGTGGGAGGCCTTCTGAAGGATGGCAAAGGGACCTTAGACCTCCACGAGCTCTCGGTGGGAGCAGCGTCTGCTGCTGTGTCGTCCGGCGAGGGATTTGGGGCGCAGGGCGCAGGCCATGGTTGAACCATCGGAGAAATTGCCTGTTGAGGAGCTGTAGCTGCGAGGTAGTGGGTGGGCCCACGATCAGGACATGTCTGAAGAGTTGCATGTTTCAGTTTAATGCGCTTCTTGGACAATTGGCGACTTAAACCATCAATCTTGCGTTTTCAGCTCCACGTCTTTTGTGTTTTCAGTTCCTGTGATTTGTCAGCTTGGGTTTTGTCTGTCGTTGACCCTAGCAGATACGGAGATACGGCTTGGAAGAATGATAGAGTTTGGAAAACTTGCTTGAATCGAAATCCTGGCTGGTATTGCTGTGATAAACCTCATTGTGTTGTGTCCACATCCCTGGCATTCTCGCCTAGGACATGGTGGTTGCAGCACGTGGCTCCCAAAATCTGCGCAACTCGTGATGTGGATCGTTTGGATGCTTGCTTGCACAAGCAGAGATGTCAATGAGGCAGTTTTCTCCTCAATAGTTTCCGGTTCGTTTGCATAAATGAGTGAGAACACGACCTCCTTTGAGTATCAGCGTGTGTCAGCTTTAGTCTCCACCCCATCAGGCTGGCCCTTCAGCAAGTATCGCAGTGGCAATACATGCATGAGCGAGCCATGTCGCAATGGCGAACGCACAGTCAGTGCACAGTCCAAGCTCCTGAGGCGAAAACAAACACCCCCCCTGCGAGGTGCTAGCTGTTCCGTTTTGAAGTCTGTAATGAACAAGTTACACCATCTCGTTCCGTGTCTGTTAAACCCAGTATCCCCAGTAGATAGGTACTTCACGACGTTGACGCCTTGCTGTTGCCACTGCTTTCAAAAGTTCGTCTGGGGTTTTGCTGCCCTTGCAATGGTCAGATGTGATCTCTTCATGCAGCTTATGTTCTTTAATATTGGAATGTCAACTGAAGTATTCCTTGCCACGGCTGAACAAATGGCGCACTCTGCACGTTAACTCTTGCTTGCTCATTTGCTGCTCACCACTTTCAGGCATCTTGTCTTCAAGTTTACTTAGTTCATTGCCGTCGAGCGAAAGGCTGGGAGAGTCGCGGGCCGTCATATCCTCGTCCTTTTTCCAGATGAGCTAGCTTTTCAAGATGAGCTACACAGCAGTTGCATTTGCATGGCTAATGTCTGGCACTTACTTCAATTCTGTATTAAGTTCTCTCATCATTGACGTCTCAGAAGTGGCAGTGAGGACAGAACGATGGAGGGTGCGAGGTGATGGGTCAAGCCGGCAGGCAACAGCGCAACAGGGTTCTACACCGATGCACGCCCCAGACGAGACTGGTGATGGCAGAGGTCTTACAACCATCCTTTATTCACTTATTATTTATTTGTTTATTTATTTATTTGCTTGTTGTTTTACTTTTTTTTTGGGGGGGGGGGGGGGGGGGGGGGGGGGGGGGGGGGGAGGCGAAACTGCTGTGCTTAGGAGAAACCTAAATGCACGAGCGCTTGCTGAAGCATGTATGGCGTGCAGTTTCATGGGCCCTGCCTGTCTCCAAACAATATTACAGCTTACCTGCACCTTTCCAACAAGGAACTTCTCAGATCAGCTCTCCCTACTGATGGTATCGCAGAAATGTAGCATATGAAGCCTTGAACTTCGCTCATGTCTGCCGGTGGCAAGACCTAAGTGTGGCCCTGGGTCGCCTACCGAACCGGTGGCTGAGGTGAAAGGTGAGGGCAGGGACTAGGTTTTGATAACCTCCGTGATGCTGAGGAGATCATCACGGGCATTGGAAAGGGCCGCAAGGCTCCACGGTGCTTGCGATGTCATGTCGGTTTTTTGGTTTGTTTTGAGGGTTTTGAGGGTTATAAGTTGTAGGGTAGATGTAAGCTGCTGAAGCCGAGAGCCACGAACCCCACACCCTGGCTTCGAAACCCTGACGCTCTAAGCCGCCATGTCCTTGCTTGGTCGTTTCTAGGATAGCCGTTTCCCTGAGTGCAAAGCAGCGTTTCTTTCAGCCTCTTCGAAGAGTTGCTTTTGCGAGCTGTGTGTATCAGCATCGAAACGAGTGACAAACTGATTTCTAACTAGCGCACTTTTTGTTTTGTGTCAGACCCTTGACCTCTTCGGACTCTTCGGTCAGGCCTGGCGCGGGGAGTGCGCTGGCGATGTCCGCCAAGCAGCGAGCAGAGCCCTCGCAGAGCCTTTGCTCTTGGTTTCAAGGATCTAAGTGGTCTAGGTCAGTCTAGGTTGCCGCCTCGCCTTGCCTGCGCCTTGTCCTACTTGTCTCGTTTTTTTTCTAACAAGGCCATACTAAGATTCGACTTTTTTCCGCGAAATCATGATAAAAACAGCCATGTGCCAGGGCATCCGATCCAACAACATGAATTACTTTCGCATGTGTTGTCGGTCCAGCTCGCTTTTGCACTGTTTCTCCACCCTCGGTGTGGCGTTGTTGGCTTTTCAGTCAACTGTGAAACTCATGTGTGGTCAGGACTGTATAAAGCCTGCGTGTGTTGAGCTTGTGCATCCTGATGCTATTTCGGGCCCTTGCGCAGTCGCGCCAATCTTCACATCAACCTGCAGAGAGTCCCGCCGAGAATCCTTGGAGTGCCCACCCCCAGAAAAGTAGCCGCCCCTTTCATGAACCTGCACTCTGCAAACATCTGCAAACCGTTCTCAACCCATCAGCGGTGGGAGCAAACTATGTGCAAGGCTTCGTTGTCGTTGTAGTCACTTCTTTCGGCGTCAAGTAGTGACTGCAAGCATTTTCGGTCGGTTAGGACAATTCTTCGTCTTCTAGCAAACAACAGTGTCGATATACATTTTGCATTCGCATGAGAGGGAAACAAAGCACCTTCAGTTCTTCAGAGCTAGATCAATTGCAGGCTCCTCATTCAGTACTTCCTATTTACTTGCCATATTCGCTATGCTTCCTGGTTTTGTTTCGAAAATTTTCGTCTTACCGGCTTACCTAGTTCATTTCCATTCTACGTGATTTCATTCGTTGTTAACTTTATTTTCTTCCTGAACCACCACTTTAAATTCATAGGGTCCTAAGGAGTGTTGGGCCTGACTAGTTTTCACTGGTCGTCTGTCTGTTTTTTCCCACGCATTTGTTTCTGTGTGACTAGAATCTCAACCTACACTGGGTCGTCTCCTTCGTTGGGTCACCTCGAAGGTGCTCTTAACTTTTGGTTCCGCTAGGTTGCCTTGTTCTTCGATTTATCCGGTCTCGGGGTTACGGGGATATCCGTCTTTAGTTCGGTTGTTTGGCATAAATAAAGACTTCGCTTTGTGGTGCTTCTAGGGTTTAGTCGAAATCATCCTGCTCAGCCCTCTCTTTGCACTTACTGGCAACAGCGTTATGGTCGTTCTGGCTGCACGGTGAACACATCAGCTGTGCGAAGTTTCAGTGGTTGACGTCAAACCCATTGAAGACTGGATCTTCCGTGGTTTGCGTTGGTATTCCTTGTTATTCAATCATCTGCATTCTTCGTTTTTCTCTTGGCACACCTTCCGTCCTTTCTGCATGAAGTCAAAGCGTTATCTCTGTTGTGTTCTCTGTGTTCTTTTTTTTCGGTTCAGTGCTGCTTCTTTATGATCTTGGGAAAAAGACGCTCTTTTGCTTTATCCTCTAGTTTTCTCGCAGGTTCTCCATACATATATATAGATGCTCACCCCCCCCCCCCCCCCAATGGACCAACCGCGAAATGAAAAGGACAGGAAAAACTAGTTGTTTTTGTAGTGCTGTGTGTTTTTTGCGCGTTTTGCCTTATTTCTTGGGCTTTTTGTGCTTTTTTTGCATTGTTGCACTCTTCTTGCATTTTTTGCACTTTTGCACTTGTTTTTGCTTTTTGCACTTTTGCACTTTTTTGGCTTTTTACACTTTTTTGGCTTTTCGCACTTTTGCACTTTTTTGCACTTTTTGCACTTTGTTGTGCTTTTTTGTGCTTTTTTCCAATTTCGCAATATTTTTGCAAATATTTGTCCTCTTGAATGTGCTTTTCCAATCCAAAAATCCAAAGTTCTCCGGACAATCTCCCAGGAAACTTTGGATTTTGGGATTTTGGGATTTTTTGGTTTTTGGATTTTTGGATTTTTGGATTTTTGGATTTTTGGATTTTTGGATTTTTGGATTTTTGGATTTTTGGATTTTTGGATTTTTGGATTTTTGGATTTTTGGTGATGTTTATGAATTTTAGCATTCGAGGTTGGCTCATATTCGTTCTCCTTTTTTTGAGTGAAAGGAGGGCGACCATTCAAATGTACCCTTATCAGAATTTCAAATGCGTCCTACCTACTCGAAACGTGAACACTACTTTCATAGCACAACTAAATAGCATATCCAATAAGATTTTTTGAATATGCTGTTTCTGTATATGAGGACCTGGTAAAGTCTTGCCTACTCAAATCTATATGTGCAAATATCGAATTGTGTGCATTTGAAAGAAGCTGAATTTCCTTTTTTTCAATAAGAACCATTCTGGGATCACAGTACCTGCTGTTTAAGAAAAAGTCTATATCTCATGAACACCCTTACTTTGCGATAACGATTTAGTTTTTCTGATCCTTTAATTCAAGCTCTTAATATTGCATTGCCCCCCTGTGATTATTACAGTAAAGCCTGCTCGAATCTCATTAGCGTCTTAACTACTCGATTGAAAACTGTATCAATAAAATCCTAAGTAGCCTGTCCAAAAAGCCAATAAGGTTTTGAAAATATCCTACTCGAAAAGCCAACAAGAGGTTGAACAGAAGAATTCAAGACAGTAATAGGGCTTGCGTCCAATACAACTGTCCACTCTAAGACTTCCCCTGGTGAAGTGAAGTGTCCATTCCGGGTAGCACAGTTCACGTACTGGTACAAGAACCAGAACATGTGGACAGTCACGGAGAGAATGCTTCGCGCTTTGTTTGATAAGTAGGGTTGAGAAGGCACGCCACTCATCGTTCAGTCTTGCTGCTAAGCAGAACTCACAGACCTCCAAATTTTGTATGCAAATCCTGCGACCAGAGGCCACACCGCGAAAGTGAAAGGATGCCAGAGTGCCTGCACGGGTATAGAGTAGTGGCAGCTATATAAGCATCCCAAAAGCAAAGAAAGCCCAAAATCCAAAAATCCAAACATCCAAAGCATCCTGGGAGATTGTCCGTTTTTGTTGCACGTTTTGCATGTTTTGCACTTTTTGCAGTTTTTGCACTTTTTGCACTTTTTTGTGCTTTTTTCTAATTTCGCAATAGTCTTGCAAATATTTGTCCTTTTGAATGTGCTTTTCCAATCCAAAAATCCAAAAATCCAAAGTTCTCCGGACAATCTCCCAGGAAACTTTGGATTTTTGGATTTTGGGATTTTTGGAGCACATTCAAGAGGACAAATATTTGCAAAAATATTGCGAAATTAGAAAAAAGTGCAAAAAGTGCAAAAAAGTGCAAAAAGTTCAATAAAGTGCAAAAAGTGCAAAAAAGTGCAACA